GGGCAAAGACCCAGAGAGGGGTTGGGAGTCGGTGCAAGTCTGTGCCTGGCCTGGAGGGATTTTTGAAATGAGTCCGGTGCAGTGGGTATCCTGGAACAGGTTATTTGGACACATCAAAGGAAAGGCTTAGTTTTTATCATTGGCTTCACGTGTGCAGGGCAGAGCAGTTCCGGTCTGTGTCACGTCCTTTGTCTCGTCTGTGTTTTGTGTCCTTCGTCTCTTAATTGTGTCACATGGTGTGTGTCGTCACGGGTACGGGGTGTCTCACTTGGGGTCAGCCTGGAACTGCTCTGCCCTGCTCCGTGGATCAGTGGGTAGATGGAATATTGCTCAGTCTCACATCAACATGTCAGTTACAAGTGTACATAAGTCGTGTGCAATCGTGTGCAAGTGAGCTCATCCAGCAGCCAGGCTTCAATAGGATAAGAGCTCTCCCTTTCTTTCATTGAATGGGACTTCTCAAGCTATTCCTGCTTTATTGAAGTATCAGCTTTGGCATCCAAAGAAGCAGAGCTATATATGGCAATGAAGAGGATTACACTCAAATGCAGGGCTTTTAAACTTAATATTTTTGTGTTGGTAAGCTGCTTTTGTAATGTGTTATCTTTTTTTCTGTTCCTTAGGAGACTTGCATCTTTTGGGATCTCCTGATCATCTCAACTGCAGCTTGGCATTTTTTCACCAGTGTTATCCAGTCCTGAGGTGAAGCTGCTCTGTGTTGAAGATGCTACAGACACCCAGGTTTGCAAGTAGTCAGTGGGGGGTTACAGCCCAGAGATGGACGGAGGGCTCAGGTGCCAGCTTAGGAATTGCCAGGGGTGTTTTGAAGGGAGTATGGGTGGAAAGCAGTGTCCAGGAGCCCCCTAAATGCCTGTGAATGCATCCACTGACTTTTCAGATGTGCCACTTAAGTTTTCCTCTCGTTCACCCAGATATTCTGTGTGATTACAGCTGCAGTCTTTGGCTGCAGGCAGTGACCCTGGATGGTTTGTCTAAAGAGAAGGGAGACTCTTTCAGCTCTCCCCATGTATCTGGGTGACTTTAGTTAGGGTTTCTTTACCATGTCAGAGGGACAGGGTGTAAAGCAGAGTTGAACAGAAAAAAGGCCAGAGGAGCAGAGCAAGAAGGTGGGTCATCACCTGACATCAGCACAAAGATGTACCCCCAGTCCCCTCCCATTCCCCTCCCAGTGTCCTTCCAGTTCCCATACTGGTCACACTGGAGTCGGTTCCATTGCTGATTTGACCCGTTATTGACAAGTGGACAATGGGGTCAAAGGTCACTTGTGGTCCTGGGGTGGGGTGTCCCAGAGGTCACTGGAGGGGTCTCAGGGGCCTGTGGGGGGACCCCTTTGAGCAGGTCCCCTTTCGGGGCCAAACACTGGCACAACCCTCCGTTATGGGGGAAAACCCCTATTTTTATGTCTGATTTTGGTGCAAAACCTCCTTTGCAGCCCTAGAATAAATCTTGGGGGGTCTCAGGGGGTCCTGGGGGGAACACATGTACCCCCTTCGAGCAGGTCCCCTTTTGGGGCGTTTTTGTGTAGAACTGCCATGATTTTGGCACAAAATCCCCCCCGGATGGTGCTGGGGGGTGCCCACGCACCCACCTTGAGCAAGTCCCTTTTTGGGGCACAAACCTCGGTGTTTTTGAGTAGAACTGCCACGATTTTGGCACCAACCCCCCCCGGATGGTGCTGGGGGGTGCCCACGTACCCGCCTTGAGCAGGTCCCCTTTTGGGGCAAAACCT